TGAGGCAAAGTTCCTGATGCATGCTGCAAAATTGCCTTTCAAAAGCACTCTGCCAATTTGCACTACCAGCAGCGAAGTGAGAGCACCCATTTCCCCAAACCCTGAAAGTGCTGGAAGCATCCTTTAAAACATCTACTTCAGCTCCTCCTGCTCCCTTACATCTAGATTTTGCTTTTGTCCAATGTTTTTTGAGCCTCAATCTGCACTTTTATTATCTAATCTCTCTCACATCCTTTTTGGAAGGAGGCGAAATTTAAGCACACATTTCTGGATTTTGTAGTCTGTCATTCTGGGGTCATGTTCAGAGGGTGACAGGAGCTGAGCGAAACAGAGTCCCAAAGATCCAGCATGGCCTGTAGGGCTGCAGCTGTCTTCTGCTGGTTGAGGGACCACCAGGGGTGGGCACTGATGAGCCCCCCAGAGCCAGCATCATGGTGTGCCAGGCCGGAGCGAAGAGAGGCAAGCGTCTTGGAGAGAAAAGAACAATATGGTGAGGAGGGAAGAAAGTGGGTTTAGGGATCAGCTGGATGTAGGCGTTCATCCAGACTCCATGTGTGTGAGCCTGGGCACGTTCTCTTGCTTTTCTGAATTACCCAGTTTGTCATCTGTAAAGGGCACAAAAAGGTCAAATGTGCAGGACTATCATGAGAGTTCAGTGTGATCCTTTATACCAGAACCTCGTACAGTGCCTGGCATGTAGGAGAACTTTGTTAAGTTGAAATGCCTTGCATGCTAGGGTCTTAGGAATGATGAGAAATAGATAAAATCAATAAAAAGAGAGAGTATGGATCCAGCACCCACCACATGGGGGCTCTCAAAAAATAACGGATGGATGGATGAATGAATGGAACTTGGAAGTCAAACAGCTGCAGCTGTTCACATATAATCTTCATTGCACTTCCCTCTCTAGGGGTCATCTCCCTTCTCTGCAAAGTGGGTCTAATGAACAAAGATATTGACAGGTGTGCACAGATGAGGAAACAGACACGGGTAGCTATATAGTTTGCCCTGGGCCTCAAGGTCGGTGTACGCAAGATCCAGGTGCCCACTTCAGGCTTGCTGTGAGGACTAAATGAAACAAGAAATTAAAGCTTCTGGCTCGCCAGGTGAGGTGGTTCAAGCCTATAGTCCTAGCACTTTGGGAGGCGGAGACAAGAGGATTGCCAGAGCTCAGGGGTTCAAGATCAGCCTGGGCAACTTAGCGAGACCTCGTCTCTACACTGAAAATCAAAAAATTAGCCAGGCGTGGCAGCACTCACCTGTAGTTCCAGCTACTTGGAAGGCTGAGCCCAGCAGTTGAAGGCTGCGGTGGCCATGAGCATGCCATTGCACTCTATCCTGGGAGACAGAGTGAGACTCCATCTCAAAAAAAAAAAAAAAGCTTCTGGCTCAATGGATGTCCGTTCCTTCCTGTAAGCAGGACCATCTGCCAGCCTCAGGGTCTTAATGGGGGAAACAGAGTACAGGAAGGGTCTGCAGCCACCACAGGGACTGGGACCAACTCAGAGGCAGCTGCACGCCGGCTGTTCATTGCTGGCACTGGCACTTGTGAGGAACTCTCCGAGTGGATTCTCCAGAGGCCCCCTTCCCAGGGGGCCATTTCCCACGCAGCTGTCTCGCCTCCACAGAGCCCAGCCCATGCTGGAGCCAGATAGATAATTGTCCTCTTCATAGCAGCCTTTTGGCCAAGAGGGTGGAGCCTGGGCTCTGCTGACAAGCCTGTCCCCTGCAAAGGGATCCAAAGCCCATGTGAGGCAGAGGGTGGTGGAAAAAATGCTTAGCACAGAATGAGTTGACCCCTAGGATGGGCTGCATCAGGGCGAGCTGCTATTGATCCTTTTAAATTCACTGTCACTATGGCTGCAGACTGGGGCAGGTGTAGGAGGCTTTACCTAGTCTAGGCACTAGATATGGATTAGCTCTTAATCCTCACAACCCCATAGATGGTGAACTGTTATTATCCTTTCTTTATAAATGAAAAATGGAAGCACAGAGAGATTAAGTAATTTGTCCAAGGTCCTATAGCAATAAAATATCAGAACCAGGATTTGAACCAAGGCAGTTTGGGATCAGAGTTCATCCATTTAACTTCCCCCACACTGTGATGGCTCTCATAGTCCCTGCCCTCATGGAACTTTGAGTCTTTCTTTTTTAAATAGCCATGTTAAAATAACACCAGCAATAATTGTTTTATTTGCTGAGAAGCAAACTGGATAGTGAGAATTGAGAGTGAATGATCTGGTGTGTAAAGTGCTTGCCATCACAGGGCTGGCGATCACAGGGAAGGAGTCAAGGGAACTTTGGTCCATTTTCTTTCTTTTTTTTTTTTTTTTGAGTCAGGGTCTCAACCTCCTGGGTTCAAGTGATCCTTCTGCCTCAGCTTCCCAAGTAGCTGAAACTACAGGCACATGCTACTATGCCCAGCTAATTTTTATATTGTTTTTATGGAGATGTGGTCTCTCTATGTTGCCTAGGCTTGACTTGGCCCATTTTCTACTTCAGCCTTGACCGCTGTGTGTTCTTTGGCAAGTCTTGTCACCTTTCTGGGCCTCCATTCCTTTATTTATGAAATGGATTGTTAATACAGTACCTAGCCTATCTTCCTTCAAAAAAATTTTGTGGTGATCAAATGAGTTGGCAGATGGAAGCAAGATTTCAAAATAGAAAAAGGCACTGGGCAAGGGTTTGTTATTCAACCAACGTGAAAGCTTCATATGAGTATGAGAACAAATAAATGAATGAATGGTCTTAGCAGCCCTGCAGCTTGGCTCCGTGGGTGACAAAAGGCTCCCTTCAGATCTGTGAGGGTTTTTCAGGGTCCCAGCAAGGTTTGGTACCCTTGACCATGTCCCACACCTGACTTATGTGAGCTTCCACCTGTTCTAGTAATCATTTTTATTTTTATTTTTATTTTTTTGAGTTGGAGTCTCACTCTATCACCCAGGCTGGAGTGCAGTGGCACACTCACAGTTACCCCAGTGTCAACCTGCTGGGCTCTGGCGATCTTTACTCCTCAGCCTTCCAAGTAGTCGTAACTACAGGCAAGCGCTACCACACCTGGCTAAGTTTTGATTTATTGTAGAGACGAGGTCTCGCCAAGTTGCCCGGGCTGGTCTCGAACCCACGGTCTCAGGCAATCCACTCACCTCGGCCTCCCAAAGTACTGGGATTACAGTCTGAGCCCCGAGCCTAGCCGCAATCATTTATTAATGTCTGCTGGGAAACCCGCCTTGTGTTAAACTCTGTGGGGAGAAAAGATGACCTTGGAGTGGTCTCTGCCCTCAGGGGCTCACAGGCTAGGAGGAGAAATGGTCATAATAGCAATGTTAATAATAGCAACAATATAAACAATCGCAACCAGCAATTACTGAGCATTTACCACAGGTTGGATAGTATGTTGAGGTTTTGTACACAACTCTAGTCCCCATTTTATACGTGGAGAAACAGATTCAGACAGATTATGTAACTGACCCAAGTTTACATGACTCTGAAGTCATGGGGTTGGACATGAACATGAACTGAAAAGACAATGTGGATACAAATAACTGTACTCTGAGGTAGAAACTACTGGGTACCCTAACACAGGGGCAGGGGCAAACCTCTCAGGGTTCAGAAGGAGAAGGGAAGCAAGGTGGTGGTGGTGATGGTGATGGTGATGGTGATGGTGATGGTGATGGTGATGGTGATGGTGATGGTGATAGTGTTGGTGATGGTGATACTGCTTCTGCTATTGTCAATAGTAATGATGATGATATTGATGATGGGAATGATGGTGATGGTGATGATGATAGTGATGATGATGGCGATGATGATAATCCTTGGGTGCCCATTCATTGAGATCCTGCTTTGGGCCAGACCCTGATCTGGGTGCTTTCTACTATCTTGTCTCATTTAATCCTCATAACAACGTTCCAGTGTCAGGATTACTAACTCCTTTTGCTCTCGAGGACTCTGAGCTGGAAGAGGTCCAGTGGCCTGCCCAAGAGCACATATGCAGTCTGACCTAGGCTTAAGCTAAAGTGTGCCTCATTTAAGCTTAGCAGCTCCTTACTATACCAGGACTGCTAACCTGTGGACCACAGGGCTGGGCATCTCAGAGATGCTCCATAAATATCTGTTGAATGAATGTTGAATGGATGGCTCCCCAAGGACTCAAAGCCTTACTCCTAGGAGACATACATTTGACATGTCTCAAATGAGTATGTGTAACTATTGTTTAAATAGTGCTGTGATTACTGAAATACAAGTTATTTGTAAACCACTATGTTTATTGTATTGTTGTATAGTTTATATTCTTAATGAGAAGATACTAGGTTTACAGTTACCATCAGGAGGAGTTTTGAGAAATAATTTCACATAGAAAGGAGTCATGTGCTGAAAATGGTGGAAGCATTCAGCCAACCTGAGTGGCATAGTCAAAGTTCTTTGCCTAGGGTCTGGCATAGGGATCACTTGGAGGAAGAAGGCAACCCATCAGGCTGGAGATGGGGAGCCTTTGGCATTTTTCTGGGTCTACTTGGGTCTTTCTTACTGGACCTAAGCTGTCACTGTCAGGGACTTCATCTCCATAAGATCTGACACCAGCATCTAATAGTTTCCCAAATAGCTACTGAATGTTCTCATGGATAAATGAATGAATAATGAACAAAAGAATGAGTGAATTACAATGAACAGTGCTCAGGGAGCCCACGGAAGCTGTTTTCTCCAAGGAGTGCTTAAAAGTGAGCGTTCCTGGGCCTGAGAACAGGACTAGCATGCCGTGGGGCCCACAGGGACAGGGGACTTGTGGCCTTCAGCTCTGTGCTCAGATTTTGAGGCTGTGGTTGCACCCCCAGGGGCCTGACCTTGACCCTGTAGTAACCATGTTGGAGAAAGGGTGGCGGCTGGGACTTTGCTCTCAGCAAGGCTGTGCTCACCATTTTTGGATGCATTTTTCAATCTCAAATGAAAGTTGACAGATGGCAGTGGTATAATATTCTCACTTTCTCTACTTCCCACAGGCCTCCTTCCAACAGTCCTCCAGGCTCTAGAAATCTCCGACACATCTCAACCATGAGACCACGGCTGGCTTTTGGCAGGTAATTGCTCCCTATCACCCCCCCCCCCGCCGCCCCCCACCACCACCACCACAGGACACAGAACAGTTTCAGCACAGCCCGAAGGCTTTGTTTTGAAGCCAGGAGGTAGGTGGGGATGACCTTAGCCTTGGGTGGGAAGGCGGAGCTTCACACTCTACTTCAAGAGAAGAGCCGCCCAAATGCCCAGAGTTCTGCAGCAGGCGTTTCTGCAAGGGGCAGCAGGTGGTGATGGGAAGGAGTCCTGGGACGGGAACCAGGGAACTGGTTCTGACTCCAGGTCTGCCTTTATTGCTTAGAACAGTGACAAGCGAGTGCCCTTCTTTCTGGTCTCTATTTCCTTTCTGCAGAGTGAGGGAGTGGGACTCTGAATTGGGCAAGCCTCAAGTCAGCCATTCTAGGCTGTGGCCAAGGCCATGGGATAGGGCAGGCGCAGTGGGGACACGACTGCAGGGCTGTTTCCTTAGAGCCAGTCTCCTCTTGGATTGTTCTGTATACCTCAAATTCATAGAAAGCCTGGGCCGGGCTATGTGTGCCCCAAATGTGTGTATGTGTGCATTTTGGGAGGAGCCAGTATCCCTTCTAACAAACCCTTCCTGAAGTTGAACAAAGACACAATCACCAGTCCTATACCCACCCTGCCAGGGCCTGGTCACCTGGACATCATTTGTTACCTATTGTGTTCTACCCTCCGTCCTGGGCCCTGAGGCACAATGATAAACAAATCAGGGCATTGCCCTTCAGAAGCTTCCATGCCAGTGGAGGAGATGGACATGAGGATAGCCACAGTACAGCAAAACCTTTGAAGGTGGGGTGTCCGTTCTGACTGGGTTTGGTCATAGGGGTGGTTCAGGGAAAACTATTTGAAGGTGAAACTTGAACTGGGCTTTGAAGGATGAGTAGAAGTTCACCAGGTACAAAATGGAAGAAGGACATCCTGAGTTTCAGGGACAGCAAGTGCAAAGGTTGAGTGGCTGGGACATGGGGTCCAGAGGAGGGGTGGTGGACATGAGGCTTGGAGAGAGGCAGGACTCTGAATGCCATGCCAAGGAGCTCCAGTTGGGTCCTATATGAGCAGGAAAGGGAGACAGACAGTTCTGTGGTCCTGAGAGAGGCCTGTGAGCAGGGGAGGGAGTTTGAGGGAGGCTGAGAGTCGGAGGAGGCGCTCATGTTAGAACCCTCAGCAGGGCCCAGTGCAAATGCCCACTGCCGAAGCATCTGTGGCCCACACTGGGCTTGGGGGCTCCACGGAGGCCCTTCAGGTCTCTGGGGTCCTGTCCTGCGTGACGCTGCCACTCTGCCTGCGGGGCCGTTGGCATTGTATCCTTCTTCCCTCACCCAGCTCCCCTGCTCTCCTCTCTCCCTGAAGAACCATCACTTACCTGCCTCGGGCAGCAATCCTGTTCAGATTTGGTGTATCACCAAGAATCTTCAACCTTCTCCACACCACCTGCTTGTCACATGGTGGCTCTCCCTGTGCAGCGAGTGATACTTTGCGATTTTATAGTTTTACAGTATCCTCTCTTGGTAGGACTCAGAACACTACCACACCTGATGCCTCGTGGTGGTGTGGCAAGTGTGCATTCTGGGTCAAGGTAGCCACGCTCTACCCCTGCCCTGTCCCTCCTTGGGAAGCCGTGGAGCCTCCCAGCCCCGAGTCTCTATAAAATATCTGTTCTGGAAATGCTCCCAGAGTCAAAAAAGTGAATGACAGCCCAGCGCCCACCATGCGAGTGGCATCGGCATGCTATGCTCTCAGCCATCTCACGACCCTGTGATGTGGCAGGTGGCTGCGGGTGGGCAATGCCAGCCTAGAACACCTGCAAGTCTTGGGTTTAAAAGTGGCCTGAGCATGCGTGATTTCAGGCCAGTGGGCTTGATTTTCCTTTGAAAAGTTCACTCAGCAGACTTTTCCTGACTCCCACTCTGGTCCTGGCACTGGTGGACACTGGGGGCCCAGACAAGAACAGGGGGACCTCCTCCAGAAGATACATGAAAGGAACAGCCACACCCTGTGAGCAAGAAGAGCTGCAGAGGCCCATGTCAGAAACGAGAGCAGTGCAGGAGGGCAGGCACAACGTTCTGTAGGGGCTGTGGCAAAGAAAAGCACGTGTGGGAGAGACCGTGAGCATTGGTGCTGGAAGGATCCATGGGAGTTCCTTGAACCAGCAGGACTTTGGGAGGGGAGCAGAGGGTGAGGGACCCACATGAGCAAAAGCCTGGCATGGGGAACACCCTGATGTGTTGGGACCTTAGTGGTTGGTGTCTACGATGATCTGCCCAGCTCCCTGTGATGGAGAGGCTTTCATGGGAGCTTAGTACCCAGCACTTTCATCCGCTCAGACCTCGTCTGGAGGACCACACCCAGGACCAGTCCCTACAGGTTAATGGAGCATGGATGAGCTCTATGACAAGGCCAGATATGCAATCCCAATGCCTCTAAGGTAGTGGGGGAACGTCTAAGACTGTTCTTGGTTGGGTTGAGGGCACACGCTACCTGCAAACTCCAACATAAACCTGAAGGTGTTACAGCATTTGTGCTGGGGTTGAGGTGACTAAAATCAGTCCCTGACCAGGGACAGTGAGGGAGGCGGACAGGGCCTGCATGCCCACAGTGGTCTAATGGAGGGGTGTCCAAAGGGACTGTAGGGGAGGGAATATCCAGAGAGCAGGAACAGGGTGGGCACCGTAAGGAGAGAATCTGAGCCAGATGGTGAGGACAGGAATAACTACCACAACAAATGTTTACTGAGTGCTTACTACATGCCAGGCACTGTTCTGAGAGCTTTACACAATTTTACATACTGCCTGCACAATAGCTGTGTGAGTCAGGTGCAGTCATTACCTTCTTTTACAGATGAGAGCTGATGCACAGAGAGTCTGTGTAACTGGCCCAAACACACAGAGCTAGGATGTGGCTTAGCCAGGCTGAAGCCAGGCAGTCTGGTCCCAGAGTCCATGCAGGAGTGACCCTGGGCAGCCCCTCTCTAAGCACTAGAGGTACCTACAGGGTTGGGGCTATGCCCGTCTTGCTCAAGCACGTAGTAGGCACTCAATAAAAATGTGTCCACTGACAAGAAGGCACAAACACATGAATGAATTTGACCCTGAAAGAATTGGGGCAGAAAATGGGGCTGGGGACAGGTACTCAGGGAGAGGGAGGAGCTGTCACAGGAGCTGCAGTTCAGGGCACCTGGGGTTGTCATGGGCTACTGCCAGGCCTGGAGCGCTGGAAGGCTGACAGGAGCCAGATGAGGGAGAGCTTAACTTACACAGCCTCTCCAGCCAACTCTCCTTGTCCCAAAGACTTAGCAGCTGCCAACCCTCTTCCCAGCCTGTGCCACCTCAGGAAAGGGAGGATGCTGTGCCCTTTGTGCCCCCACATCACAATTTGTCCCCCATTTACTCAAAGGTTCCCATGGCCAGATCTGGTAAGAAGACCACGACCCCCAGAGGTGGTGAAGGGGCTCTGGAAAGAATTCAGAACCCACTCCTGGAAGGGGTTGCTCTCTGAACATTTGAGACTCTGGGGGGTGGGGTGTTTTTATTGTTTTGTTCTTTTCTCAAAGACCCTTCCTGTCTTCAAGCTCAGTGGCCAAGAATGGAAAGCTAGGGTTGGGATTCAGCTCCATGGCTTCCTAGCTGGGCATTCTTGGGTGAGTCAATTCACTTCTCTGTGCCTCAGTTTCCATCTCCAGAAAGTGGGAATAAAAACACTATGGGATTAATCGAGGCAAGGTTTGGGGAAACTCAGTACAGCACCAGGTGCAGTGAGAAATAGTTCCTTGGCCTCTTGCTTTGCTTCTGGGGCCTCAGTTTCCTCCATAAAATGAGAGCTGGATAATGCTGATCTTTAATGCCAACCAGCCATATTCATATATTTACACACACACATATATACTACATGCCTATTACATGTACAATTTAATCACTTGTATATACTTAACATAAATTTATAATTCACAGCATCTTTTTATAGTATATTCTTCTGACTTAAAAAGTAATACAGAGCTAGGGCTGTCGCCATGCTTCCTGGCTTTGGCCCCTTCTCCCACCTTGGGGAGGTGAATCTTCTCTTTCTCTCTCTCTCACTAATTTACTTTAAATAAACTATATTTTCTAATCCTAAAAAAATAAATATAAAAAGTATTACATATTTATTGAGGCATTTTTGGAAAGTGCAGGAGAAGAAAAAATTTCACCCACTGTTCCACATTCATGGTGGAGATATTTAGTGAATTCCTCTCCCACCTTTTTCTATGCACATACACAGATTTTTTTTCCAATATATTTGAGATCATACTCTGCATTCTATTTTTTCTTTTTTTAACTCAAGCTAAGCTATTGAGCCAGGCTGCTGGGCAGGACCGTCTGTCCCTGTGCTTGGGAGGAACCAGAGGCAGCAGCTGCCACAGCTGCTGGGTGCCTGTCCCCCTCACTCCTGCCTGGGTGGCTGCTTGGAGGCATCTGACCTTCGGATGTTCTGTGCCTCTGGTGGGTGCACATTTGACACTAATTTTAGCTTGGCCTCTCAGGCCCGCTGGCCTTGGGGCCCTGCACATAATGGACGCCTTATGTAGACAGCTGCCAATAGTGCAGGAAAAAGCGTCCCACCTTAAAATGTTCCTCGTTGCCCGCCAGCGCTCTGCTCTCGGAGAACAAGCCAGCTCCCTGTTCCCTCTCCCACCAGGAAGGGGCCATTGTTGACGTTCATGGCCCAACAGGCTGCGCCGGTGGGCAGGTGGCCCACCAAACACATGGGAGATTGCTTCTCTGGATGGGGTCATGTTTTTACAGGATAGGCTTTGATTTGATCTGGAGCAGCTGAGGGAGACTTCCCAAGAAATTGCAGGACTGCAAGGTGTCTGAACTGCCCTCAGGTGTGTGCATGAGGCCTTCTGGAGTCTCACCTTAATGTTTCAAATACATCAAACATGTACAAATGTACAACATTATTTGACCTCCCATTTCGTCCTGGAGACAGGCAGGACGTGTGTGTTAGA